GTAGTGGAGCGCATGCACCTAACCACTAAGCCACGGGGCCGGCCCCCAACATTTGGAATATTTTGAACTTTTCTGAACCGTGTAGACATCATACATAAATTTCATTAAAAAAAATCAGTACTTAGAGCCTTTTCGTGAAACGATTCTGGAATTTATAAAATCCACTATAATTTTTGTATAGCAAAATCTCACTAAGTTTTCATGATAAAAACTAGAAATAGAAGGGAACTTGTTCATCTTAATGAAAGGCATCTGTGGAAAAACCCATAGCTAACATCATACTCATACTGACAAACTTTTCCCCTAAAATTAGGAACAAGACAGGATGTCCACTCTTGCCACTTCTATTCAACATTGTACTGGATGTTCTAGCCGGAGCAGTTAGGCAAGTAAAAGAAAGAAAAGGCATCCAGATTAGAAAGGAAGAAGTAAAACTATCTCTGTTTGCAGATAACATGGCCTTACATAGAGAATATCCTAAGGAATCCACAAAAAAAAACTATTAGAGCTGATAAAACAAGTTCAGCAAGGTTTTAGGATACAAGGTCAATATACAAAAATCAATTATATTTTTACATATTGATAATAAAGAATCTGAAAATGAAATTAACAATTTCATTTACAATCGTATCAAAAATAATAAAATATTTAGGAATAAATTTAACAAAAGAAATACAAGACTTGTACACTGAAAGTTACGAAACGTTGCTGAAAGAAATTAAAGAAGACTTGAATAAATGGAAAGACATCCATGTTCATGAATTAGAAGACTTAATATTGTGAAGATGGCAATACTCCCAAAATTGATCTACGGATTCAACACAATCCTTATCAAAATTCCACCCTACCTTTCTTGCAGAAATTGACAAGCTGATTCTGAAGTTCGTGGATGAAAATGCAAGGGACCCAGAATAGCCCAAATAATGTTGAATAAGAACAAAGTTGAAGGACTCACACTTCCTGATTTTAAAACCTTCTTCAGAGCTACAGTAATCAAGATTATGTGGGACTGGCAGGATAGACATATAGATCAGTGGAATAGAATTGAGAGCCCAGAAATAAACCCATACTTGAAGATCAGTTGACTTTCGACAGAAGTGCCAAGACAATTCAATGGGGGAAAGAATAGTCGTATTGCTTACTGGGTACAGAGTTTCTGTTTCAGAGGATGAAAAATTTTGGAAATAGATAGTGGTGATGATTTACAACATTGTGAGTGTAATTAATGCCACTGAATTGTATACTTACAGTGGTTAAAAGTGGCAAATTTTTATGTTATATATATATATCTTACCATAGTAAAAAAGTAAACATTTTTTTAAAAAATAAAAACTTTTAAATAGGTCAAAGACCTAAAATAAGAACTAAAACTATAAAACTCTTAGAAGAAAACATAGGTCTAAATGATTGTGACCTTGGATTAGGCAATGACTTTTAGATATTACGTTAGAAGTACTGGCAACAAAAGGAAAAATAGATAAATGGGACTTTGTCAAGATGAAAACTTTCATACTTCGAAGGACACTATCAAGAAAGTGAAAAGACAACCCACAGAACTTGAGAAAATGTTTGCAAATCATGTATCTGATAAGGGTCTAGTATTCAGAATACAGAACTCAACAGTAAAAGGACAACTCCGTTAAAGAATGGGCAAAGGTTTTTGTTTTGTTTTGTTTTTTTTAATAATTTTATTTATTTATTTATTTTCCCCCCAAAGCCCCAGTAGATAGTTGTATGTCATAGCTGCCATCCTTCTAGTTGCTGTATGTGGGATACGGCCTCAGCATGGCGGGAGAGGCGGTGCGTCAGTGCACGCCTGGGATCCGAACCCGGGCCCCCAGCAGCGGAGCGTGCGCACTTAACCGCTAAGCCACAGGGCCGGCCCATGGGCAAAGGTTTTGAATAAACATTTCTCCAAAGAAGATACACAGATACCCTATAAGCTCATGAAGAGATGCTCAACATCAGTAGCCATCAGGGACATGCAAATCAAAACCACAATGAGATGCTACTTCATACCCACTCAAATGGTTATACTAAAAAAGGTGGATGATGACAAGTGTTGACAAAGATGTGGAGAAATTGGAACCCTCATCCATGCTGGTAATGGTGCAGCCACTTTGGAAAGCAATTTTTAGCCTTTCCTCAAAAAGTTAAACATAGTTACCATATGACCCAGCATTTTCACTCCTAGGCAAATACCTAAGAGAATTGAAAACATGTCCACACAAAAACTTAATACAAGAATGTTCAGAGCACTATTCATAGTAGTCAAAAAACAGAAACAATCCAAATGTCCATCATCTGATGAAGAGATAAAGAAAATGGAACATTTTGGAATATTTGTATAGTGTATGGACAATTAAATGTATAAAATGGAATATTATTCAGCTATAAAAAGGGATGAAGTATAAATCATGCTACAACAGGGAGGAGCCTTGAAAACATGCTAAGTGAGAGAAACCAGTAAGAAAAGGCTGAACATGTCCAGAATAGATGAATTCAAAGATACAGAAAGAAAAGAAGTATTTGCCAGGAATTGGGGGAGGGAGATAATGGGGAGTGTCTCCTCTTTGATATGGAGTTTATTTTTGTGGTGATCAAAGTGTTCTGGAATTAGATGGTGGTGATGGTTGCACATCTTTGTGAATAAACTAAAAACCACTAAATTGTACATATTAAAAGGTGAATTTTATGGCATGTGAATTATATTTTCAAAAACCCCACAGGGCCGGCCCCATGCCTTAGCGGTTAAGTGCACGCGCTCCGCTGCTGGCGGCCCGGGTTCGGATCCCGGGCGCGCACCAATGCACCGCTTCTCCGGCCATGGTGAAGCTGTGTCCCACATACAGCAACTAGAAGGATGTGCAGCTATGACATACAACTATCTACTGGGGCTTTGCGGGAAAAAAAATAAATCAATAAAAAAAAAAAAAAAAAAGTTTAAAAAACCCCACAGCCGTGAGCTAGCATTTGTATTGAATATTGAATTTCATAAAGTATTTTTTTAAAACCCACTAAAGGCAAGAGTAGTCAGCATTAATAGACTGTTTGAGAAATGTAATTATTTCCTAGCTCTCGTGACCTTGAACAAAGTATTTTACCTTTCTTAGCTTTAGTCTCCTTGTCTGTAAGTTGGGGTGGGGTGGACAGGGTGGATAGCAGCACCTACCTCTTAGGATCGAATGAGCTTCTGCATGTGAATAGCTTAACCCAGCCCCTGGCCCAGAGTGGGTGCTCACTGAAGGTCAGCACTGTTCTTGGTAACAGCCCTGGTGTCCCCTTCCTTTGCAGACAGAGTGGGAAGCTTTGGAGCTAACGGATCACCAGTGGGCACTAGATGATGTCGAAGAGGAGCTCATGGCCAAAGACCTCCACTTCGAGAGCATGTTCAAAAAGGAATTACAGACCTCTATTTTTTGAAGACCAAGCAGGGTCTCTGTCAGGAACTCGGAGTAGTGCTTAACCTTGTAACTGTTGTTTGAGCTGGAGCCTCTCGGAATAAAAAGGAGGATTGTTCTTCTCTGAGCTGGGTTCTCCTTCAAGTGTGAAACTGGAGGAAGGATGAGGAATGTGTGCTGTGTGACTTACTTGGAAACAGCTATTTTTAAAATGTTTTAAGTTTTCCTTCTGGTGACTCTAGTAATGAAAGAGAAAGAAGGGGAAGTCAAGCTGGTGATAATATATAAAACTCAGCAAAAATTCAGTCTTTGGAAAAAGCATTATCAATTATACCTAATTATGATGTACAGTCAGCCTGACTTCTAACCACAGTAAACTGTTTTCTTGGGATCCAAGCACCCTGTGCTTTACTTTTAATTTTTCGTTAGTATTTTTATAACTTTCATTATACAAATAATACGTTTTCATTACTGAAAATTTCGGAACTATGGATGAGCAAAGTGAAGTTCCCTGTGTTGTTCATTTTGAGCCTACAGAATGACATAAAGAGCAAATGTGTCAAAACCTTATTCAAATAAACTCTTTTCAGAGTGAATACCCAGGGCCGGGACAGACTTAGCAAACCTTCTGCAGCTCTTAGTGCTGTCCAGTGAACGTCAGTGACCCTGAGGCACTGCCAGATTCTCACGTGCCTTTGGGACCGTCAAAGATAGGTTAAATGACGTGAGGTCTTGATGTGGAGTTCAGAATAGATCAAATCCAGTGACAAATCAATGGTGCTCTACTGTATATGGCTACTCGGTTGAACAAAAGACCTCATTGCCCAGTTATTCTGGATAAGCGAGAGTTTACATATTGCTGTAAGAAGAGAAGAAGGGTGATTGCTGGCAGACACATATCTAAGGGTTGTGTCAGGAACCCTGTGTCAATATGACAGGAATAATTCTGCCTGGATTAACTCTCCCAGGAAAGTGGCAGGGTGCCATTTCTGTACCAAGAGGCGAACGTAATGTGCATGTTGAGCACTGTAATCAAGAACAAACATCTCTTGGGGCCGGCCCTGTGGCGCAGCGCTTAAGTGCGCACTCCCTGCTGCTGGCAGCCTGGGTTCGGATCCTGGGCATGTACCACACCACTGATCAGGCCACGCTGTGGCGGCGTCCCATATAAAGTAGAGGAAGATGGGCACAGATGTTAGCCCAGGGCCAATCTTCCTCAGCAAAAAGAGGAGGATTGGCATGGATGTTAGCTCAGGGACAATCTTCCTCACACACAAAAAAAAGAACAACTCTTAACTCTACAAATTAAACTACCCTGTTTTCTCTTCTTTGCCCATAAAAATGTTGCCTCTGTGGGTCACTAACAGCTTTCTGCCAACAGTTATGAGTATCTATTGTGGACCAGTGCTGGAGAGTCTAAGACGAAAAGATGTGACCCTTGCCCTCAAGGAACTCATAAGAGAGGCACATAAGAAATTGGTGGTTCTGAACCCTTTTTTGGGTCACAGAACCTCTTTGAGAATCTGGTGGAAGCTCTGACACTCCCCTGCAGAGTAGTGCACGTGGGCACAGACACACGGATTTCCTGCGTAACCCAGAATGTTGATAGGCCCTCCAAAGCCTATTCAGAGTGACCCACAGACCCAAGGTAAGAAACGCTGATATTTAAATAGCTGCTTAAACAAAATGTTAAAGGAACAAGGGTTCACGGGAGAGCTAACCTTTGACCTGGGCCTAAAAGAGTTCTGCAGTGTGGAAGGGCATCCCAAGCAGAGGGAACAGAACCAGCAAAGGCCCACAGATTAAAATGTCCACACTTCATGGCACCCCAGGAAGTGGGGGTCACGTGGTATATACGGAAAGGTCCAGGTGGGGCTGGAAAGCAAGCAGTAACTGGCGACTGAGTGATGTCACCCTCGTTCCTACAAGGCATCTTGAGCATTTCAGTCTGCCTCTTGGCTCACACACAATTTGTCTTTTTCCCCGTAGCAGAGGTGGGTGGGTGAAGTGTGTGAGACTTTCCTGACCCATCGTGTTGGTGGTGAATGCACGTGTCCTTGGCACCAACAAGTCAAAGGGAAAAGCCAGGTTTGTTGTAGCAAGTTCTTCCCAGAACCCGCACACAAGTTCAGGGAGCAATGCTTATCGTGTGTGTTTCTTGGCGTTCAGTTTGGGCCAAGCTACTAAAGGAGCATTTTACCTTTTCCATCAACCTGAACTTATCACCAAAACCGTTTAGGACCATCTGAAATGTCCACTTACTGATCATAGTATAGAAGGTGCCTTGCATGGAAGGCTAAATATTGACAGTCAACTGCACAACACAACTCAGAAAAATAGTGATGACTTAGATTTGAGGAGAGTAGGTAAACCTGCACTTAGGGGCAAAAGTCAGTGTGGTTCTTCTGTTTGGTCTATAAGGAATGTGATGGGCATGTGTGTATGTGAAAGACCTGGAGGATTACTAACTGTGCGAAATATTGCAGTTGCAAGTGACAAACTGAACTCAACCTGGCTTAAGCAATTAAAAAAAGGAATATAATTGGCTCAATAGCTAAAATGTCCAATGGTCAGTTGGCTGCAGGTACAGCTGGATCCAGGTCCTCAAGTGATGTCATTGGGATTCAGTTTCTGTATCAAGTCAGCCTTTTTCTTTTTTTTTTTTTTTTAATTTTTTTTTTTTTTTTTTTCCCCCAAAGCCCCAGTAGATAGTTGTATGTCATAGCTGCACATCCTTCTAGTTGCTGTATGTGGGACGCGGCCTCAGCATGGCCGGAGAAGTGGTGCGTCGGTGCGCGCCTGGGATCCGGACCCAGGCCGCCAGCAGCGGAGCGCACACACTTAACCGCTAAGCCATGGGGCCGGCCCAAGTCAGCCTTTTTCTATTCTCAGGCAGTCTGTCTTCTCATGGAGACACCAGCTTAGTAAAGCCAGTGAAAAGAAGGCACCCGTTTCTGAAAAATTTCGTTAAAAATCAGGATAATTTTCCTGATTTGGATTACATGCAAATTCCAGAAACTGCTTAGCCCCAGCTAGGCTACAAGGACTGAAGGTGGGATGGGGTGATTCCCTAAAGGAAAACCGGGGTGCCGTTACCAGAAGAAAGTGGCATGGGTACCAGGCAAGAAAAAAAAGTATTTTACCCTTTAATCACCCAAACTGTCTCGAATGTTCCCAAAAGGAGCTACTGCTCCTGTCTAGTAGGCAGTGAAGTCTGCAAACATTTACTGGATTTCTGCAATATGCCTAGTGCCATGCTAGATATTTTCAGATCTTTCTGTTCACTCAGCAAACATTTATTGACCATCTGCTAGACGCTGCACGTAAACAGGCTGCACGCCCAGACCTTAAGAGCCTGGCCTAGGGCCGGCCCTGTGGCTTGGTGGTTAAGTG